ATGAAAGGTTGCCGAAATGAAGTGTGCGCGCCCTSAAGTACTAAACAACTGTGTCCTGCAGACAGGATTTGAAAAACAAGTAAAATTTTCATGGAATATACATCAAGAAGAATGTGAAGTGCTGTGAAAAAATATCATTCATTTGCATGAGTATATCGAATGCCAAAAGTACTTACACACATACATACAAATACGTGGAAGTTCTATTGAGGCAAAACACTAAGTACTTCGAGAATGATTATTAAAATGTACATTGCTTTCGCTTGTGAACAAATTTATTGGAAATGCGAATGGCGCAACAGTGTATATTTACATTTGTATGTATAGATACATATATATTATTTATTATGTACATATACATAAATGTGCATCTAAAAAAATATGTGCACTCTTTATTTCATGTATATTTGTTTGACTCTGGAACAAGCAATTTTAAGAAAGTGTGAGTGAAAATTATTATTTCATAAAAACTCATTTGAACATGGGAAAAACCCATGGATACAATTGTATTTACATATGTACATACCTAGTACACTGCATATTCGGTTCGTAAGGGTCTAAATGATAAGTATTGTTAGAAGTTACTTTGTAATTCTCATGCTCCGTTGCTAAAAATGTTTTACCAAAAAGTTTTTCAATATATTTATATATACATACATACATATGTATGTACTAAATTAAATGTARAATTTATTGTGGAAAAACTTTCATTTGGAAAAATGTGTGCCAAATGGRCGCTATATTTAGTTGTACTTAGTAATATCAATAATAAATATTTGTTTGCTTGTGTGAAACAATAATGGTAATCTAGTAGTTAACGAAAGACGCTTTGATTGATAGTCGCAATTTGCTGTCTTACCTAGCACGTTCTTTTGCCCTATACTCTCGTAACACGTTCACCGTAGAAAATGTATGTARTTCTATATGTAGACGAACTCCGAGAAATGGGTCAGTTTTGGTTCAACAAATATGTAAATCGGGTTCGTCGGCCTTCTAGTAGACCATATATACATTAGATATGATCTCATAAACCACTCAGGCTATAAAAGCAACATTTATTTCTATCATCGTGATAAAGTTTGAAAAAAGATGAATTGGTGTAAAATGCAAAAATGAACATGTCGACAACTACTTTTCGGTAAAAATCTATTTGGCAGCAACTATAAGACCCATTTGATTTAAATTTGGTACATAATTGCTTCTCGAAATCATTACAATAGATTTTCAAAATATCAGCRATCGGACTACAACCACGTGTGTTCCCCAACATATAATACCATTTTATATACGGTTAGCTCCTTTCACTTTGCAACAAATAAGTCAATAGCCAATGAAGGTATCAAATTAAAGTTAAAATCAACCAGACTCTAGGAAATTTTCACGACTGAGTTAGTCAATCTGATCAATGATGCAAAAATGTTTCAGAACAGAATTTTTTTAGGGATTCATACCCGTACGCCTGAACTGACAAAATTATATGTTTGGGAATTCTATATCTTAAACAAATTATTGCATTTGTTTCTCCTTARCCAGTAAGAATAATTATAAAGCTAAATTTAGCCAGCCTACAGGTGATGATTTGATCTAGTGCCGGTTGAGTTCGGCTTTCTTACCATAAAACTTTACTTCAATCCGAATTATATATGTGTTTAATGTTTAGTGTAGATAATTCCATCGAATATTTCCAAAAATTTCTTAAATGCTTGCACAACATGTGGCGAAAAATGATACAAGTACAAATAGTAAGTTCTCAAAAAAGTCCTGCGGTATTTTCGCTAGTTGGCGCTGAGAGCGCATGGTTCTAGTTTTATTCGTCTCATCGTTTCATACTTACCTTTTTGGAAAGCTCATTTCACGCGCTAACAGGTGTTTGATTGGTTGTCGTTTCTTTTCAGTCGTTCGTCATAAAGGCAAAAATGCACCTCAAGCCCCCAATAAAATTTGTGCAGTTTATGGATCCGATACAGTTTCTATTTCCACCGCACAACGATGGTTTCGACGTTTTCCTTCTGGTGTAGAAGTGGTCGAAGGTGCGCCACGCTCCGGAAGGCCTGTCGTTGAAAATTGCGATAAAATCGCTGAATTGATCAAAAGAGACCGGCATAGTATCAGCCGTAGCATCGGTCAAGAGCTGGGCATGAGTCATCAAAAAAAATTGTATGAACAATTGAAAATTGAAAAAAAAAAAATTCAATAAAAATACCGCAAGACTTTTTAGACAACCTATTATATAAATTCCTCTATTGACTCGAGAAAAGTTTAAAAATAGAAGAAAGCGAGCCACCAAGATTACATTTTTGCAAAAATTTTGACATTAATRATATTCTAAAGCATTTTATTTTATTTACACAAAAATTTTTATTTCAACCAACTAAGTAATCCGTTATTAACCATCAAATTTTAGTAGAGTCGTTTCACTTGTGAGCATAACTTTGAATTTCTGCCGGATTTCTAAGTGATTGCCCCAAATGTCATTCGTTTCCTTTTCCGTGTGSGATTTCCAACGCTCTCAGTAACATCCTTCATTTCGTCCTACCACACCTTGCCATTCTTCTGGCATTATCTCGCTTAACTCTCACCRAAACAGAAATTCACCTTTAGCTTCGTGCAACTAGACCAACTGTTTATTCTTCATTTCCTATTTGCAACTCCAATTTAGATTCGTCTAAGCTGTCGTTACGAGCGGTACGTTGTGTTAAGCGGAAGCGGAATTTCGCGCAATCGTCTGTTGTAGGTGCATTTACTTAATCTCAAATAAAGATTGTGCAGCCACTTTTGGTGGAAAGTGAATAAAGAAGTTAGAAAGAAAACCTTGATAGTGGGCTACCCCTCAAAGCAGTGCATACAATATTCGTACATGCATACATTTGTGTGAGAGTGTGTTTTTGAAGTTTGCTAATTTTAATATAGAATATTCGCTGCTTAAGTAACAGCTCAACAGTTTCACTCAATTCTCAGTTCGCTGTTAACGAATTATTGAGAGCGCAATGTATGGGACAGTGGTATGTCATGAAATAACGGGGGTAGTAAACTGAAGTGAGTGAAAGTATAACGGTAAATAAAGTTTTAATCTTCATCGCTAAGTGCATGTGTACTCTATGTACAATTCCATGATAACGTTTTATGAGAAAATCTAATGAGCTGTTTGTACGAGTAGCTTATTCTCAATAATACATACATAGTATACATATAGATATCTGCGTCTTTTATATGTATGTATATGTGTGTGCACATAATATAACATAAACACGTACACACACTCTTTATAAGTTTGTCATTATTTGAAATATTCAAAATCGTTAACATAAATGCCTTAAAGCTTGAAGAATTTCAGAATTTCAAAATAAATTTATTCTATATATTATTATATCTGTGAGGAGTTGTCGGGTGTGCATCTGAGAAATAATTCTTTCGTCCCTCTAATAGAACCTTCCAATTGGCATTTCCTGTCAGACGTTTCGTTTGGCACCAAGTTAAGATCTTGAGTATACTCACATCTGATCGTAAATGGAGGAAAATTGTAACATACGTATATTAAAATGGACAGATATGATATGACAGATCATTGGAMGTTTGTATATGCCATCCACGAAGGATATGTTGAAAACAAAATAACCGAGGATGTAGAGATCCCACATTTATTGCAGAAGGTTTCGTGAAAATATAGGCCTTTCTCTTGGTTTTGTCAAAAATTGGTTTAAGCAAGCTGCAATGAGCCTTCTGATTAGAAAAACATATCCAAGGGCATGTCCTAGCCATATATTTTTTACACATATCCCTTTATGGAGTATTAATAGCTACATCTCCATCTATTTTGAAACGCAAATAAAGAGTGGTTTTAGAGGTATAGCTGTCAAAATGAATATATGTTCTGACAGTTATGTGCAAATTCAATGACAATCTTTTGGTATAGCTTCGTACAGCTTCATATTGGTAAATCATGTACAACTGACCAGACGAAAACCAACACTTGACATTATATTGCTGCGAAATTGYGGCAAAAGCATAGACTTCATGGCAATGAAATGCTGCTCACAGACTAAAGTATGTCTATAAAGTTCCCAAAATATATTATTAAAAATTAGAAAAATAGTCGACATAATCATGAATTTGTTTTCATTCAAAAAAAAAAAAAAAAAAAAAAACAACATTCTAAAATAATATTTCACCCAACTGGTTTACTCATACTCTTTATATACGTAATCGACTACCATCATGGCAACATAAAACGACAATTCCGTCTGCGGTTGTCATCCATCACAGGATATAGTCTGGATGGTTAGTTGCCGTACAGAATATTACTCACTCCTGTCAAATGAAAATGCCAATTTATTGACGTATACATAATATGTAAGTACTTTAATATATGTATTTATAGTAAATATATGCACATACAAGGCATGCTGAAGCCAAGTGCCATGTACCGGTGCTGGTAGCGTCATAAGAGCACACTGTTGTACCATAGAAAACCAGAAAGAGGTTTGAGAGACACAAATTTCTACACATGTTCTTCAAGCGTTTTATAGCGCTGTTTAGCACTTTTTTGCGAACGTGTGAGTATTACTATTTTTCTACGATTAACCGCMAAGCATTGTATGAAGTTGGGGGAGTGTGCTTGCTAAATGGAGGAGAGTATACTCAAAATGTGTGCGCGACTCCGGGAGCATGTGGAAATAAGCGCGAGCGTTTGTTTTGTTTATCAAGCGCTCTCTGCGCGGTGAAGCACCGTTAGCAGTACCGCTACTATTTTGCTATCACCACATGCACAGGCACGCAAACACAGTAAAGAACGAACGAGCATATGTTGTGTTCTGGTTCGTATGCTGGTTGTTGGTGAAAATGCCAACTTTACCACAGCGCTGGTGGTGGTGCTGTGCTGCGAGCACGACTCGCTGTTGGTGAGCGCAGGATTTTCCACGCGTATGCAGCAATAACGCGCTCAGATGGCCTCGCTCGGCTAGCAGCCTGCTCATACGCTTCATTGTGTCGATTGCGTTGCTCGTGACAGGACGATTCCGGAAATACAGACGGCAAAGCGCACGGTAGTGTAACCAACAAAAAAAATTGTAGCAAATAGTGGGAGTGTGAGGTGTGAGGTGCATTGGCAAGAGCTGAATTGGAAGCATTTTAACCCTATATATTAAATTAAAAATGTAAATAGTAGCAAGTATTCTAAGTGTATAAGTGAAATAATTGTGCAAAAGTTCATAAAAAAGTGTTTGAAAGCGMAAAAATTGAGTTGAAAATTTAGATTCCAAGCGAATCAAGTCATGAAAATTCGCTTATAGCCAAGTTGCCATTTTTTGTGTGTGTACCTAGTATACGACGGAAGGAAAACTTCAGTTCAGCACCAGCGCGTGCATGTGTGCGTAAGCCAACGCGTAAAGTGTATTGTGTATATGTGTACAACGAATATGTATTAGTGGTAGTACCCTAAGGATATAGAAGAAAAAATTCTCTATTGTATGCAAAAGGAAATCAAATACATACATACATGCAAACAATTTCTTTTTGGCGAAAGTTTTTCAAAATTTTAAAAAGTGTGCTTTGTGCAATACAAAAATTKTACTGTGAAAACATAATACAAATATACAAACGAATAAGTTTTTGATACACACGCTCTACTCCCAGTGGATTAAAACGCAAAAATCAATAATTCGGATTAGCCGCCTGTGTGAGGATACAAACTGAAAAGAGTAAGTAGTGAAAATAGTAATCGTACGTAATTATTGCTAATATCGGTGTCTGGCCYAAATGGATGTGTCGAATACAATTGGTCTTTTGCAGATCACAGTGCTTTGGCGGATAGTATTGCGGCGCAATTAGTGGGTGGGCAGACGCGCACGGGTGGTAGCGTTGTAGGCATTTCAAAGCACAGCAGTTTAAGTTACTGGACTAGWAAGATGCATTTTTAAAATGTGAAATAATTTCAGGTTTGTTTTTTCTATTTTTTAATTTTTTCATTCCTGTTTAATAATGAAAATGTTCAAAAATCGTACGCCAGCAAAGACGCAGCAGAGCAGTCGGTTGTAGCTTTTTCGCCGAGATTAACACACCTTAGACAAATACATGCCTAAYGGCGCTCTCGCATTTACACGTACGCCAATTTTCGCTCAATATAATTCTTCACTCATTGTRCTCGTCGGCTTTCACCGCAGCACTRGWCGAATTGCTGAGAGCGAGAGACTTAGCATTTCCACCGTAGTCTGCTTTTAGGCGATGTGCGACAAGTTACTACCACTGCTAGACTAATTTACGTTTACCATTGTTATCGCATTCGTAGTGCCGTTCCGCTCATATACATACTTGTACATATGTATCTATGTATCGGAGCGAAAATCGATCGATTGCTTCTTATCACATTCGTTAAGCTGTGGTTTCGGCAGCATTGGCACACACAACTTTGGCCGCCTCACACAACACGACCACCTAGACTGTGCCGCTGAAATGTACAAAGAAATGATGTAAAAACAAGTGTGCGCCAATACAAAGGCAACTTTTGTCATRGCGCATGCCAGCACATGGGGTTGAGCGCGTGTGGATTCTACCCAGCTTTTGGGGTGTCTGAACAAAGAAGGTAAAACTCTCCTTTTGCTATAATAACTTTTTCTCAAATTTGTCGCAAATGTTGTGTGTCTGCTGCGTATGTGTGTATATATTTGCTAGCGCGTGTTAAGAAAATATTGTGTGCTTCAACAAGCGGACAGTGTGGTGTGGTGGCAGTAATATGTGCTGTAGATGGAGAGTACACTTGCAATAACTCTTATGCTTATTTATTTTTAATGTAATATCTATATCCTCCATTTCCATAATTTTGGTTCAACAACAATTATTTTACTTTATTACTTGCGCAACTAAGTTCCTACTGTTTGTTAATATTAAAGAGTATACTGAATTTTAACATAAATGATTTTGGTTATTTTTCATATCCTTTTTGTTGTGCAAATCTAAACTGTTTTTTGCCAAATAATCGTCATTTGTGGAAGTGTTGATTATCCATTTTCAGTCAAAGAAATCGTCGGCTGAATCAGAACGATTCGGTTTTAACGACCGACCAGAATCCTAAAAACCTTCGTAGATGATGAATTTGATCTATGAGGGTCGGCGTCAGACGTAAAAGAAGTTTGCTTCAATATTGAGAGTCACTCACCAAGTTATTTAAAAGTGCCTACAAGTGCTTGAAATGTTTCAGAAACTCAACACCAGGAGCGGCACGAAAAAGTGACTCTGAAGAATACATCGCTTCAATGGGAAGACCTACTCCACCCGCTATATTTCTCAGGTAATTGCAATCTATGGCACGTGGACTGGCTCAGAAGCAGTTTCAGTCACACGACGATCACAAAAGTTGGCTTGATACTTGAATGGCATCACAGATGAACAACTTAACCGTAATGGTATTCAAAGTTTACCATGACGATGGGAAAAGGTTTTGACCAAGTACTTCAAATAGTTAATTTTTAACCATTTTCTTAAAAGAAATTTGGATTTTCATTAAAGAAAAGCTCGAACTTAGTTACGCCCCTAATACTATATTTGTTATATATATTTTAAAATTTTTTTTTATATTCAATTTATTGTAGTGGAAATAAAAAGCAAAAAAATACGTAACATTAGATGAATATGTGTCTCAAGGTTCCATTCTTCTTCTTGATTGGCGTAGTCACCGCTTACGCGATTATAGCCGAGTTRACAATAGCGCGACAGTCGTTTCTTCTTTTCGCTCCGTGGCGACAATTAGATATTCCAAGTGAAGCCAGGTCTTCCTCCACTAGGTCCTTCCAACGGAGTGGAGGTCTTCCTCTCCTCTGCTTCCCCGGCGGGTACTGCGTCGAATACTTTCAGAGCTGGAGCGTTTTTGTCCATCCGGACAACATGACCTAGCCAGCGTAGCCGCTGTCTTTTAATTCGCTGAACTATGTCAATATCTCGTACAGCTCATCGTTCCATCGAATGCGATATTCGCCGTGGCCAACGCGCAAAGGACTATAAATCTTTCGCAAAACTTTTTTCTCGAAAACTCGCAACGTCGACTCATCCGTTGTTGACATCGTCCAAGCCTCTGCACCATATAGCAGGACGGGAATTATGAGTGACTTATAGAGTTTGGTTTTTGTTTGTCGAGAGAGSACTTTGCTTCTCAATTSMCTACTCAGTCCGAAGTAGCACCTGTTGGCAAGARTTATTCTGCGTTGGATTTCTAGGCTGACATTGTTGGTGGTTCCATTAGCTCCAGTRTAAAATTTATAAATATCACCAATGGGTGTCCATTCAGCGCCAGCGAAAGCTGTGAAATTGTTTGTTTTACGTAATTTGWCAGCACTAATCAAACGTGCGTTCCTGACTCAGCACATGGCTTTCTTTCTATTCACTACATACGAATCTTCTTTATACTAATCTTTTATGGTGCARTTTTTAAATTTTCCAGTTGAAATTGAATTTTACGCACGTACAGGAACGCATTAAAGTATATTGACTTTTTGCTGCCTCAATGTCCAAGCATTTGTGTCTGACCGCAAAATAGCCGCATCTCATTCGCAACGCCACCAGTAATGATAACCCCACCAACAATTGATCTTTGGGGCATTTGATTGGCTGATAGCTWGAACGCCACAAATTGTGCGGTTTTGCAGCGGAGTGAAACAGTTTAACCTCAATTGATGCTGGCGCTTTAAGAAGTTTGCTGTTGTTTTTTTTCTTGTTCAGGTTTGTGCGACCACGTGGATGAATGGAAGAAACTCATGTAGGTGTCTTATTATTTACAAATAATTATTAGTGTTGCTGCAAAACTATAAAAGGAGCATGTAAATATTTTTGTCCTTCATTGTTATCATTAGCACCCATAACTGTAATTGTATTATATTAAAAAAATCGAATTTTAAARTGACAAGTTTCGGAATAAACTCTAGCAAAATGTTATGAAAAAGAGTAAAAGTTGAACCATTTCGAGGTTCCCCACCTTTTTAAAGGAAAAGCACAGGAACTTAAAAWTAAATGGGGAATGTTTATTATCGTTTTAAAGAAAATTTTTTGACTTTTATTCTTTGGAGATTATTCCTTTCAAATATTGACCGTGACTATGTCTCAGATGATCCATCCGTTGAATCCAATCTTCAATGACTCGTTTGAGTATTTCAACTGGTAAGTCTGGTCTGGGGCGAAGCGGGATTATCCGCATAAACTTTAGACTTGTGAGATATCACAYGATCATGGTGGCCAATCGACCCGCCCAAAACGTGATATTACGTGAGTTGATGCGATGTGGCAACGTCTTGTTGAAACCAAATGTCGCCGAGATCATGAGACATAATTTCARGCATTAAATAGTCGTTATCAAGGTGCGATAACGGTCGTCATAGACGGTTATGAAAACATTAATATCATTTTTGAAGAAATATGGACCGATGATTCCATCRGCCTACAAACCACACCAAACCGTTGTTTTATAGATGAAATGTCAGCTCTTGAATCTCTTCAAGTTGCTCTTCACCACAAATGCGGCATTTTTGCTGGTCTAAATATCCAAGCTATAGTCGTTCTATTATCGATTCCTTAAATCTTTAAAACAGGCGGTTCGGTTGGGAGGTCTTTGAAAGCTATGTTTGAAAACTGTGGAATGCGATAATGAATAATTTATTTAATATACAAACATATTTTGACTATTAATTAAGTTTACGTAAATCAAAATATGCCCACTTTTCTCTCAAGGGTCTCATGTATTGGATTATAATTCCATTTCCACTTGAACCGCACTAAAAAAAGTGAAAACGTTAACTTCGGTTTCAACGAAGAAGTTTCCATACAAGTTGTTCAGTTGGTTTTGGAAGCTATATGCAAAAGAAATCCGATCTAAAACTGATTTTGAATCTGGTGAAGATATCTTGCCAAATTAAAATGTTTTTTATAACAAAGCATAKTTTTTAACTTTCACATTGTTAAGAGCTATATGTTATAGTGRTCTGATATGGACAATTTCTTCTGATATTTTCTTTCTCTTGCTTCCTCTTGGATAATTATCCGTGAAGAAATGACATATATTTTTTGGGATCTTCGAGGTCTCATTCTCACCGACCGACCGACTTCTCAATCCACGTTGAGGGTATAACTATTGGTGTGGTCCAACTTCCGTTCCATAGCCAGCCGCTGACTGGATTACCGCGCAAATTTACTGCACAAAGTAACGGCAACAACTGCAACGAGAAAAAAGTGCAATAAGCAAAAAAGAGTGTCATTGCAGTGCGTTGCCACTACATGCAGATGGTAGACATAATGTGGCAACGGTGCAAGTGAACACAGTGCGGCCTCTGCTCCGCTCGCTACAAAAATGCCGTCACAAGGCCGCAATGCAAAATGTAATGAATGAGTGATGTGTTGGTGCACAATAAGGTTTCATTGTGCAACACGCATGCAACACTCGAAAACAAGCGCAGCACGCGGTGTAAAGGGGGAAGTAAAGCAGTATAAAGTGACAGCTTATGCGCATATCGTACCACGACGCAACTGCAAAGCCAAAGCTAAATGCAGCATTATATTTGTTTATGCCACCAATGAGTCTGCATACATGAAAGTTTGCAGCATTAGCTGGTTCACTGACAGCCGGTCTGKGTATTCGACTGGGTCGACGGCAAAAGAGCACACCCGCAAACAAGTGCAAACACATTCCAATATCAAAGGACCCATACAAGTGTACGCCTTT